CCTCCCTCCCCCTTTTCCATTTCTCTTCCTCCCCCGTCCCATCAGCTTTTTTATGCTTTATCCTGACTTTTGACAAGCATTTCCGCTTGCGCATTCCCCCTTCTTCCCATCCTCCCCGTCTCCCCTCACTGATTTCATTTCATCCGCGTCGAGGGAGTGAAGCGGCCGGTTGTGCGCCGCTTGCATCCCAATTTGTTTTAGAAAAAATTGCCTTCCTCTTTTTTTTGTGTGTGTTCCATTACTGTTACTGTAACATGGCATGTCCGATTACGGGCGAGGCTACGGCACATATCAGCATCCGGCTCAGCCGGCCAAACATAAATTTGATGTAATACCGGGTTCTTCACGATTTTATGCTGCAGCTTTGTCTGCCTCAACATCTCCTACACAGCCGGCCAACATTGTTGAAAAGGGCAGTCCAGTGAAGTCGGTAACTTTCAGTCATTCTGCCCCATCTAGAGGCGCGCTCACAACCGCAAGTCACGCACATAGCTCAGTTGGTCAAAGAGGCTCCCGAGCTCGCTATCCCCGCCGAGTTTCAGCAGCGCCACCTGTTAAGTATGGCGCAGTGATCAAAGTTTGATCGTGAAGTGCGCTACGTTGTTGCGCAAGTGCTTAAATTCGTGATAAACATTGTTATTTATTCGCGTGAGAATCGTGCGGTGCTTAGACACGCGCCCGCTTTACTGACTATCACCGAGGATAGCAATATTGTTGGTCCCTCTGCGAACGGCTCAGTAATACGAATTTTAGATAAGATCCTCGCAAGGAGCCATGCTCCAGTGATAAAGGATGGTGCAATTCAGTCAATTATGCTTTACCAAGACAGCAATATCACAGCAATTTTAGACAGCAGTAAGCCGTGTGCTCCGGGTGTCCATCGTCGCCTGCCGCACCGAGGCCTGCGAGCTGATGATAGCTGAGCTCTCCGACTCGTTTTGGCGGACCGACAGCACAAGATAGTAGCAGGCACGCTCGCACTAATCCAGGCACATCATCGGCGGCTTTGCGGTAGTGCCAGCTACCTAATTTTGGATGAGGCAAGCGTAGTCCTAGAGATATAGATCCTGGCTGTTTGTGGGACGTTTCCGAGACTTCGCCAGGCATTCCTCACCGGTGATCGAGAGCAGCTGCCGCCGTACATGGTTGGAGTTCCCGCTCCGATCATTAATTGCGGCACGTGTAGCATAAACAGCTCGATCGACGACCGCTGTGCAGTATCGGTCCGTACCCTACACACCAGCTTTCGCGCGCATCCGCTCCTTACTAGGTGCTTATCTGTAGCTGCATATGAGGGGCGATTGGTCGGAGTCAGG